TTGGGCCAAAATAGCAAAGCTGGAAACACCACAATACCTGATTTTAAGACATTACTACACAGCCTTGGGAAAGCCCAGCATGGTATTGCCATAAAGACAGAATAATAAATCTAAATTACAAAATTCAGGGTGGATGTGGTGGTGCATACCAATACACTTGTAATTCTGGCTCCCTCCCAGCTGAGTCCAGGCCTCACATCAAAGCACAAATCCCTACCCTTAAAATGATCTGCTGTACAGTGCAGGAAAAAAAATCATCAGTGATGAGAGATCCTACACAATGGGAGCTATTCATTTGGCAGATGATTAATATATAAGAACTGAAAAAAACCTACAATAACAAAACTTAAGCAATCTGATTAAAAAACAGGTAAGCAGTCTGAATAGATAAGTCTCCAAAGCAGCAACACCAATATTAAGTAAATACATGAAAAGTAATCAATATCATTAGCTATTAGAGAAGAACAGATCAAAACTACAATGAGAAATGGGGGTCAGTGGTCCTGCCTATACTTAGCTACTTAGGAGGCTGAGATCTAAGGATCTCAGTTCAGAGCCAGCCCAAGCAGGAATGTCTACCAGACTCTTATCTCCAATTAACTATAAAAAAGCCAGAAGTGACGGGCTGGGAAGGTGGCTCAGTGGTAGAGCGCTTGCCTTGCAAGCCAGAGGCCCTGGGTTCAATTCCTCAGCACCACATAAGCAAAAAGAAAAAAGCCGGAAGTGGCGCTGTGGCTCAGGTGGTAGAGCACTAGCCTTGAGCTGAAGAGCTGAGGGACAGCGCCCAGGCCCAGAGTTCAGGCCCCACGACTGGACCCCCCCCCCCCCCAAAAAAAAAAATAAAAGCCAATAGTGGAGCAGTAGTAGAGCACCAGCCTTGAGTAAAAAAGCTCAGGGACAATGCCCAGGTCTCAAGTTCAAGCCCCAGGACCGACACAACACAACAAAAAACTACAGTGAGACTCTGAGACCTCACCCCGGTTAGGATGGTTGTTACCAAAAATAAAACCAGCAGAACAAATGCTGCAAGGATGCGAAGGAAAAGGAATCCTAACCCTTCTATACTATTGGTGGAGATGTAGATTATTAGTACAGTCACTACATCAAACAGTTCAGAAGGTCACACGAGAACTAGCACACAGTCCACCTTCCCCACTCCTGGTATGTACTGAAGGAAGTGAAGTTGGCACACAAGAGACCTGTAAGCCTGTGTTTACACCAGGACTGTCCACAATCGCCAAGATGTGTGATCAGCAGTAGCGTCCAAGGACAGATGAGTGGATAAAGAAAATACAGCCAGGTGCCGGTGGCTCACGCCTGTAATCCTAGCTACTGAGGAGGCTGAGATCTGAGGATCACAATTCAAAGCCAGCCCAGGCAGCAAAGTCCATGAGACTCATCTCCAATAAACCACTAGAAAACTGGAAGTGGCGCTGTGGCTTAAGCGGTAGAGTGCTAGCCTTGAGCTGAAGAGCTGAGGGACAGTGCCCAAGCCCAGAGTTCAAGTTCCACGACCAACAACAACAGCAACAGCAAAAAGAATGTAACTTTAGCATTTGCAGGAAAATGGATGGAACCAGAGCACATCATATTAAGTGAAATAAGCCAGACACAGAAAGGTGCATGCTCACGTGGCGACTTTAAGAAAGAAAAAGTAATAATTTGACAGGAGAACAATGATGAGGGTCTGGAAAAGTCCTAAGGAAAGGGGGGCATCCGATTAGTGATGATATGTACATACATACAGCCGTCTAGTGACTCCCATTGATTTGTAAAATGTGTTTTCATAAAACTGTTCCCAGAAATTGAAATGGAACTCTGCCAAACCCCAAAGGCCAGCCTTACACTGATACCAAAATCAGACAAAGATGCAGAAAACAAATTATGGGCCTATATTCCAGATGAATATAGGCGCACAAATTCTCAACAGAAAAACAGACTGGGTTCTGCAGCACATCACAAAGGTCATACAGAGCTGGGCACTGGTGAGGCTCACCTGTAATCCTAGCTACTTAAGGAGGATGAGATCTGAGGATCATGGTTCAAAGCCAGCCCAGTCGTTTCCAGTTATCCAGCAAAAGGCAAAAGTGAAGCTGTGGCTCAAGTGAGCCAGATTTGAGCAAAACAGCTCAGGGACAACACCCAGGTCCTGTGTTCAAGTCCCCAAACTGGCATACACACAAATAATAAACTTAGAAATGTGCAAGATTGCTGGGCATAATGGCACACACTTGTGACCCCAGCATTTGGAAGCCAAGGCAAGAGGCTTTCAAGTTCAAAGCCATGCTAGACTACATTAGCAAGGGCCTGTATCCCAAAAAGCCAAAAAGAGAGGGCTGAAGGTGTGACTCAAGTAGTCCTCTAGCAATGTGGGAGGCCTCTAGGTCCAGTCCCAGTACTACTTAAAAAAAAATAATAGAGTTTTATGAAAGGACAAGTCCGAGCCCGAGGAGGCGGCTGTGGCTCCTGCCTGTGGTGGCCTGTCTTCTCCCTGAAACGGGAGCAGGGTAGAGCAGCATGAGCGGCCTGCAGTACTGAATAGCGGCGTGAGAGAGAGGGAAAACTTGTGCATGTGAGTTTATTCTACCACAAAGAAAAAGTACAAGCCAGGGGAAATGAGAAACCAGCCAGTAAATGGTGTAAAAGTGATTAATATTAATGTGGGAAAACATCAGTATTACCCCACTTTATATTTTCCTGAATTAGAGCTCTCAAGATATAAATGTGGAAAGTACCACAAAACACTGTGGGCAAGTGTCTCTGACGTCAGCAGAGGATCCGAGTGTGTCAGCAAGGCCAGAACTCATTATGCAGCTAAATCCACTGCACAGTCATGACACACCATAGCATAGAGAAGACAAATGAGACAACTGTTTGTAACATCTGAAATAAAAGGTACTCTGCCCAAATATATGATACATTAAGAAAGTGCAACTTGCCCAAAAGAAAAAAATGTGTGTGTGTGTATCACACACACACACACACACACACACACACACACACTAATCTGTTGGCAAGATAGGGTGGCGGGTTAGGATAGAGGCAGGAAGTGCTGTGTGCAGGCGCCGTGGGGGAGGGCTGTCAGCATGGTCCCAGGTAGTTCCATAACTAGTTATTTTACTTGCAAACTCGGGCCAGCATATCTGTAAAGGACGTTCATCGCATCACTAATTTAAAAAGAAATACTCGATCATGAGGAAGCTTCCCGTTAACATTCGAAGCAGTTTTCTCTGTTCCTGCAGTCTGCCTCACATTTGTCATCTTGAAGCAGAACACTGGTAGGAAGTGAGTCTAACCACGAGGATAGACTTTCCAGTGTTGTCACTGCTGCCCACGAAGCCCTCACCACGCCAGCTGCGTGATATTAGACCCAAGACTTTCTAGAGAAGGTTGTTAGAGCTGGGGTTTCCAGGTCCACCTGTCTCAGGCTTCCTGGAGTAGGCGGGAGGACGGGCGGGCACATCCCACCACACCCAGCAGATTCTGTTGCCATGGAGTCTTGTGGACTTTTCTGTCCAGGCTAGCCTGGAACTCTCAGACTCATGATCTCAGCGTCCCAAGTAGGTAGGGTTACACGTGGGAGCTACTGGTACCCGGCTGGATTTCCTGAGCCACACTCCAGATCTCCCCGCCTCCTAAGTAGCTGGGATTACAGATATGAGCAGCTATACTCAGCTTTTAACTTTTCTGGGACTCACTGAATAATTTTTTTTTTTTTTTAGCTGTAAGACCATGCAGTTGCTGAACAGGCTTAATTTAAGTTTTTCCTTTCTGTTTTGGATGTCTTTTTTCCCCTCATTGCTCTGGTTGAAACTAGTACTATGTTGAACAGAAGTAGCAAATGTGGGTTCCTGGTCTTGCTTCTGACCTTTAGGGAAAAGTTTTCAGTCTTCCATCACCTAGTCTAATGCTCCCTGGGTTTTCATATACAGCTTTTATCAGGTTCTGGTTTCGGTGCTCACACTGATCTTGAGTACGGAAAACTCTGCTCTTTCTTCCTTGACAACACCACGGTCTGTCCATGATGCAAGCAGGACTGGCTGCTGATGCAAGCTCACATGATGCTGGCTTCAGAGCTCCCTGGCGCCCTAATGAGTGGTCTAAAGGGACTCAGCCTGCCTGGCCGGCTGCAGGCGTGCCCATGGGAGGCCCCTGCACAGAGTTAGTTGTGTTCACAGCACATACCTGCTGGACTCATGCGCTCTGTGAGCATGGCGTGGAGGAAAGGGGGGGATTGGGTAAGGCTCGAGAACTAAGTTGAGATGAGGGGAAATGAGGCAGAGGTTCTGGTGCCTTCTAGGCCTTGGAGTCAGAGCAGAGCCATACTCAAGAACGCATGGTCCTGCTGGGCACTCACAGCCTGGAATCCTAGCTGCTTCGGAGGCTGAGCTCTGAGGTTTGAGGCTTGAAGCCAGCCCTCAATGCCTGTGAAATGTTTATCTCCAAATAACCAAAAACGCCGAAGTGGAGCTGTGGCTCAAGTGGTAGAGCACGAGCCTTGAGCAATAAGGCTCAGCTACGCCACCTAGGCCTGGAGTTCAAGCCCCAGGACCAACACCTCCCCTCCCTCCACCCCCCACCCCCCAAAAAAAGAAAAAAAAAGATTAGCCCTGGGTAATTTTGTTTTTTAAGTAGTTAGGATTGTAAAAAGGTTCTAAATCTGACTTTTTGTGCACTTGGGGCTTTGTTAAAAGCCTGTTGAGAAGGTTGCTACCAAAACTCGATTTCACTAGGAATCCATTTTTATTAGCATTTCCACTAAATATCCCATTATTTCTAGTAAAACCACCACCTTGTGCCAACCGGTCATCTCTGGGTGCCAGGGCTCACGCCAGGGGCTTTCTGGCTTGCGTCTGCCGCAGCCCTCGGGCCGTGGCTTTCCCTGTGGCTTTCGTAAGGTCAGAGCCGACACGGCCAGGCCCAGACCCGCTGGCTGGCGCTGACTTCAGAAGTTGCTTCTACAAAGTGTCTTAATGCTGCAAAAATGAATTTGGTTTCAGATTGTCTTCGCAGTTTTACCGACTTAGAAGAGCTTGATGAGACGGAGTTATATATGTGCCATAAATGCAAAAAGAAACAGAAGTCCACAAAAAAGTTTTGGATTCAGAAACTCCCCAGGGTAAGTGGCGAAGTGCAGTCACAATTCAGTGTCTGCGCGCGCACGCTGCGGTTGGGGTGTGCCTGATTGAGGACTGTTGTAGTCGGAGCTTTACACAATTGTTCTCTATATTCTCTGCTGAGACCTTTTGGGGGGGGGGTGCACGGAAGGAGGCAAAGCTGAGCAGCATTCAGCACCCCGAGTGGAGACCGGGGTGCACCAGGCCCTTCACCATCCTGTCCTTTCTCGCCCAGGTGCTGTGCTTACATTTGAAACGATTTCATTGGACAGCCTATTTAAGAAACAAAGTCGATACCTATGTAGAGTTCCCACTGAGGGGCCTAGACATGAAATGCTACTTGCTGGAGGTAAGTGATGACCTGCCTGGCTCCTGCAGAGGGGCAGGTCGCCGGCAGAGCACCGCCACCGTCACTGACCATGCTCCCGACTCCTTGTCCCGCAGCCTGAGAACAGCGGCCCGGACAGCTGCCTGTACGACCTGGCCGCCGTGGTGGTGCATCACGGCTCTGGGTGAGTGAGATGCAGTGCTGCTTCCCCAGCTTGGCTGCCAGCATCTTCTGGTGGGGAGGACCTGGCAGCCAGCACAAGAGTAGCAGTGTGGGCTGCAGGCATCCATGGAAGGCAGGCAGAGACCAGGAAAACGGACAGCTTTAGGAGCCTACTGTTTCCCCCCATCTTCTGGGTTGTCTTTATTCTAGTTCCTTCTTTTGTCAGGGCTCATGTTTGTTTTGTTCACTTGCTTGGCTTGGCACTCTACCCCTTGCGCCATGCCTCCTGCCCTGCCTTTTGTGGGTTATTTTGGAGATGGAATCTCATGGGTTTTTCTGCCTGTGTAGCTAGGATTATAGGGGTGAGCCATCAGTGCTGGGCTAAAATTGGATAACATTTGAAAAAATTTTGTTGAGCTTTAAGGCTTAGAATTTTTGTTATTATAAAGGTGATATGCAGAGGTGAACTATACTTATTACTATTATTTTTAACTATCAAACCTGAACTATCATACTTGGGCAGAACTACTACCCAGGATAAAAATATTTGCACCTGTGGATAAAATATTTTACAACTCTGTAGATTGGTTCCACTGACTTGACTTTCGGGTCAGTGTTACGAATGACGAATCTGGTTGGAGTCTGATTGTGTCTTCATAAGCGTCCTAGTTTTTTCCTTGGCATTGGAGGAAAATTGGGTGTATCCCTGAGCAGTAGTTGGCAGAGACACTCAGAATGTTCTTTTTTTTTGGTCCAGTCGTGGGGCCTGCACTCTGGGCCTGGGCGCTGTCCCTCAGCTCTTCAGCTCAAGGCTAGCGCTCTACCACTTGAGCCACAGCGCCACTTCTGGCTTTTTTCTTTTTGCTTATGTGGTGCTGAGGAATCGAACCCAGGGCCTCATGCATGTAAGGCAAGCGCTCTACCACTGAGCCACCTTCCCAGCCCCACTCAGAATGTTCTCACGTTCAGTCTGACCGTTCTCTGTTGTGGTCTTGTGTCCGCGGGCCCTCTGAGGTGGAGGGCTGGCCTTGGGGCGTCGGTGGCCAGGCCGGGCCTGCTGACACACAGTCTGCCACTCGGCGTTCCATAAGCCTTGACCTGTTCTTGTTAGGCTGCGAGTTCTACAGCTCTTTAGTTCTTCCATTCGTCTAGTGTCATCTGCTTTATTTCTAGTCAGGTGACGGGGTGCAGTCTTTCCCGTTTTTCCATGGTCAGGTCCTTGTCTTTTCCATTGGCTTGCTGTAGGAGTCCCACAAAACCATTCGGTATGTGCTGGACAGACACCTGTGCCGCCTGCGGCTTAGACTTCCGATGGCCCTCAAATGTTATAAATATCTAGATGGCCCTTGGCACTCCTGGTGGAGGAAAGTAGACACACGAGCTCAGTTAGCCAGTTCAAAGCAAGGCGTCTAGGATTTATCTGATGGCAGTACTGTTAAAATGGGTTCCATCCATAGCAAGTCCTCATGTGACTCCCTCAATGTGTCGCCTTGCCTTCCAGGGTGGGCTCTGGACATTACACAGCCTACGCCACCCACGAAGGCCGCTGGTTCCACTTCAATGACAGTACTGTAACGCTGACGGACGAGGAGACTGTGCTGAAGGCCAAGGCCTACATCCTTTTCTACGTGGAGCGCCAGGCCAGAGCGGGATCAGACAAACTTTAACACTGCCTCTAAATCACCGCCCGCCTCCCGCCCCGGACAAACATTTCCAGCTCCCATAAATACTTGATCCAGAATTTAACTTCATTATGCACTTTTCGATTTTCCTGTTTCAGGTTTAGTTCTGTCAGTTGTAGTGACTTACTGAATATGGGCACCAACTCATGGTGGTTGTTCTACCAGAAAACCTCAGCAGACATTTCCATTTGCTGCTTTACTTTAATAATTCAGTTTTTATACGTAGCTTCCAGAACTTAGTTCTGTGTGACTTTTTTATATTAATGACTTTTGGTTCTCTCTCTGAGGCACATGCACAGCCATGCTTTTGAGTCCTGCGTGCTGAAAGCAGCCGTGCCTGTGAGGGGAGGCGGGGCCGCCGGGGCCAGGCCCACCTGCAAGCGGGGCGCACGACCTCGAGACCCCCCCATTCCCCCCACCCCCCCACACTGGCACCAGCACACAGCTCCTCCTCCTGGGGGCTTTGCAGTGTCCGGAGTGGCCATTTCCTTGGGGAGAGGCGGCGAGAGTTCAAGGAAAGGCAGCTTGCTCCCCTCCAGCTGAGGACTCGCCCCTTGTTGGACCCCGAGGGGGGATCGTGACCCTCGCCGGGGGTCTGCAGACTCCCCGGCCCGGCCTGCGGGCCCAGCGGAGTGCGTTTCTATTGAACTCGGCTGCCTCGGTTTCCAGATTGTTCAGAGAGCTAGGCGCGTGCGTCATCGCCACCGCTCACCTTGAAACGTGGCCCGAGGCTCAGTGAGCGGCGGCCGGGCTGCGGCCCCGGAGCGCGCGTGCGCGCGGGCTCTCCTGCCGTCCCTGTCCCGGTCCCCCGGCTCTGCATCGTGTGTGTCAGGCCAGCCAGGCAGACTGGGTAAAAGTTTTTTTTTTTCTATTAAAAAATTGAAACCTCTTTGAAGTGTGTACATTCAAAGACAAGTTGGTCAGTGTCCCGCTGCGGCCAGCGCCCCCCTCCAGCCCTGCCGCCCCGGGTTGGCGCGGGGCCTGGGGGGGGGCGGCGTTCGCTGACCGGGAGCAGTCCTGTGGCGGGGGGCGCTGGCGGGCGGCCGGCTCTGCGCCTGCGCACACCCGCGAGGCGCCTCCGCCCGGCGCGCTTCTGTCCCGGGTCTCTCCGGACCGCGCCCCGCGCCCCGCGCCGTGGGACCGGGCGGAACCCCTCGCCGGGGAGGTGCCTGTTCTCATCTCCCCTTCTGATTGTGGTGGCGGCTTTTTACTGATTTTTCCTTAAGCACCGTCGTTCTGTGGATCCCGAAGGCCCCGCCGTGACCCGCGCCTGCCTGCGCCGGAGCCCGCGCGCCCGGCCTGGCCACCCCCGTCCGCAGCTCATCCTCGGGGCTCTCCCCGCGCCACGCGCCTCGGGCCCTCCACGCACGCGGGACAGTAAACCCTCAAGGCCTCCCGCGGCCGAGGGGGGTGGAAACACGAATCTCTCCATGGTGGAGAAACCTTTGCTTATCCACTGTGTTCTACTCAGTGTCTCTGATGGCAGACACAGGCGGGCAGTCGCGTGCGGGCCGGGGCGGCGCGGCCCTGGGGCTGGGCCGTATTTACGTTCACACAGCGTTGGTTTAGGGTGCAGGGGTCTATGTAGATCGTGAGCTCCGCGGATCCTGCTGCGCAGCGCACGCAGCTTCCGCCCGCGGCCCGGCGGGGCTCTGTGCCCGCGGCCAGGGCTCCGGGGGTCAAAGACGAGCGCATGCGCGGCGGCCCCTGTACCCCACGGCAGGCGCCGCCTCCCCGCCGTGTGTGTGTGTGGGGGGGGGGGGGGAGGTGGAAGGTGGTGAGATCTTTGCCACAAGTACCTAGTGTGCTGCCCGGAGCGTTGCTGCATGGTGCAGGGGCCCGATGCGCCCCCGCCCCGCCTCCCACTCACCTGACCGCTCTGTGGAAAGTGTCATTAAAGATCTCTTTCCTTTACCGGGACTTCGGACGTTCTTTCGGGCGCCCCTGGCTCTGGGCCAGGTGCAGCAGCAGCAACAAGGCGCTGTGCTGACGTTGGGCCTGCTGCGGTTCTGGGCAGGGGTGGGGTGGTCACTGAGCCCTGCGCCCCCAGCCCCAGGGGCCGGGGAAGCCGCCTAAAAACACCACCTGCCCACCTCCTGGCCCAGGTTCTCAACAGCCACCGGCCTGGGGCAGCAAAGGAGCCAGGTTCCACCCAGGCCGGGCCCAGCTGGGGCCGCAGGAGTGCGGCCTGGGGTCCTCCCAGCGTCCTTGTAGGAAATCCAAAAGAGCCACCTGCTTCCAGGGGTGAGCCGCACTTGACCAGCGGTGTGTGTGTGGGGGTGGGGGCGCATGGAAACGCAGGGGCTCTCTAGAAGCCACCCGTGCTGCTGCAGCCTGAGCTCCCGGGCTGCACGGCTGGAGGAAGCTGGTTGCCCTTCATGGAGAAAGGAGTCCTTGCAGTTGTGGAGTTGGTGTGTTTCTGACAGTGCCCTGGCACGCTGGGGGCGCAGGCGGCACCGGGGAGAGGATGCTGACCACACAGGACGGCCTACCCCAGCCTGGCCTACTGCAGCCTCGCTTCTACCAGCAGGTGCAGCAGGGCAGGCTTGCCTCATCCGGGTCTCTCCGCACAGCAGGAAACCGGCCTTCCAGTTCTGGTTGGATGAGCATGCACAGAGGTGACCAGTGTCCCTGGGTGGGCAGAACGTGGCCTCCACTGCAGCAGGGCTTTAGGTCTGCACACGAGCCCTCTGGTGGTTGTGGGAGTTGGAAGCGGGGTGCGGCGTGGTGTGGGTGAGGCCGTGGGGCTTCAGGGAAGGAGAACTTGGTAGGTGCACATCCTCCCCAGCCCCTCGCTTATGTTTTTTGGGGGGAGGAGGTTGAGGGGGGGAACACCTAGAAAGGGGATTCTGTGGCCAACACAGACCAATGTTTAACACGGTTCCCTGCAGGGCTGTGCTGAGCTGCTTCCACCACGTGCCATCTTGGGAAGCGGAAGTTAGAAGGATATAGAATGAAAACAAAGTTGAAGGCAAAGCAAGCTTCGGGAGAAGGTGCGCTGTGATCACATCCGCAGACACGCGTGCTTTGGGAAGACAAGGTGCTTCCGTCCATTCGGGAGGCTGAGGAAATCCCTTTGCCCGGGTGAGGATCAGGATGTGAGGCCTCTGCCTCACGGGGGGAGGCCATGAACACTACGTTCCCCGAAGCAAATGTAACAAGAGGCCGCCCTGCAGCTGCTGCCCTGGGCGGCGCACACAGCAGGCCACTTATAGCAAGGGAGGAGGGGAGCCCCACAGTGACCCCCCCAAAGACTCAGCTCACACCCACCATCAGTGCACAGGTGGAGCTCCGCGGCCAGCCCTCCCCAACGAGAATGCCCACGAAAAGCCGAAGCAGCACCCTGCGTGGCACCAGCCCTCAGGAGGAGAATCCCTTTTAAGGACACGCAAGAGGTTCAGGCCGCGCCCCTGCCAGCCCCAGAGCGCCGCACGCACGCACGTGTGTCTGCACCCTGGCTTTCTCTCCCCCCCAATTCCCCCTCCAGAGCTGCAGCACCAGTTGTTGGCCAAAAATAAACACCATTCCTCAACCATATATGTCCACCGGCCTCGGGTGTGGGGAGGAGCAGCACGAGGAAGGTCAGACCCTGGCCGGGCACACTCACGCGTGGCCACCGCTCACCATGCACATAACGCAGCTCAACTGGGAGTGCCTGCTGCACCTCTTCTCCTTCCTGGACAAGGACAGCAGGAAGAGCCTTGCCAGGACCTGCACCCAGCTCCACGCTGTGTTTGAGGACCCCGCGCTCTGGCCTCTTCTGCACTTCCACTCCCTCACCGAGCTCAAGAAGGACAACTTCTTGCTGGGCCCGGCGCTCCGCTGCCTGTCTATCTGCTGGCACTCCAGCCGCGTGCAGGTGTGCAGCATTGAGGACTGGCTCAAGAGCGCCCTCCAGAGGAGCATCTGCAGCCGGCATGAGAACCTCGTCAGTGATTTCCTCCTCCAGGTGTGCGACAGGTAAGCCTTGCTGGCCCGGGGTTCTTGGGGGACAGGGGAGCACAGATGACAAGACCAGATGCTATCGGGGTGCCCCAAGGGCAGAAGGTGGAGGGCAACACCACTAACTCTCCTGAGACAGGGGAACTGGGCTGGCTGGCCCGGCCCCGCAGGCAGCTGCCCTCTTTGGCAGATAGTTAAGTGCGGCCTGTGTCCAGGTCTAGATTTTCAAGGTCAGGCTCCCCCACAGCATGAGAAATGGTGCAGAGGACGCTCTGTGCGTCTCTGGTCAGCTGTGCCAAGCCAGAACACAGGAGCAGCAGCAATGGGCTCCTCAGGACCCGGCCCCCTCCACCAGGCCCCAGGGGAGCTTGGAGCTCCTTTGTAAAGGAGCAAACTGATGCCCTAAAGTGATGTGATCTGCCCGCCGTCTCTTGGGGTGCCAGTGCGGTAGAGTCCTGCCTAGCAAGTGAGGGGCCCCGAGTTCAAACCTCAGTACTGCTAATAAATAAAAACAAAAACTATGAAGCCGGGTGCTGCGGCCTCACACTTGGAATCCTAGCCTCTCAGGAAACCGAGATCTGAGCATCAAAGTTCAGAGCCCTCCTGGGCAGGAAAGTTCCTGAGACTCCTTTAACCCCTCCCCCAAAAGCCTGAAATGGAGCTGTGGCTCAAGTTGGTAGAGTGATAGGTTTCAACAAAAAAGCTCAGGACAGTGCCCAGGCCTTGAGTTCAAGCCTCAGGACCTGCATACACATATAGGTTGCCTAATGAACTAACTTCAATACCAACAGTGATGAACTTTTCAGTGTAAATCTGTCCCTCAGATATTTCCCACTTGATCCTTTCAGCCCACTGCTGGGGCAGCTGCTGTTGGTGGAAAACTAGGTTCAGGTTGCCTCATGAAGCTCAGCTGCTTCCTGGCAGCACAACAGGAACGAGAGGGATCATGCCACGGCACCACCTCCTATTGGTTCTGGTTTTGTAAATTGGGCGTTGCCTTCAGCAGATGCAGGCCATCTTCTAGAAACCAGGTTGGAGGGTGATGTGAGGGTGGCTCTGAAGCTGTCCACACGCCACTGAACCAGCCAGGAAAGCCCTGCTCCTGTCCTACTGTGCCACTCCAGCTCAGGTTGAAGTTTTCAGTCCAAGACACCAGGGCGTGGAGCTGGAGTCACAGCTTTCTGTGACACCAGGGCCCCTTGCTGGACTGTGTGGAAATTCTATGAGCCCATTTCTATGAAACGGGATGGGTCATTTGGACTCGGGGTAAAAGGACTAGCCAGTAGCACTTTGCAGGAATGGCTAGCCTTCTGGACAGTCTGAGGAAGGACGGGGCTGGTCAAAGAGCTGGGGCCTCCCTCCCCCGTTTATCCTCACCCCCTTTCCCCCAGCACAAACTGGCCCGGCTACCTGGCCAGGTAGCGTCAAGGTTGTGACAACATGTGGCTCCCCCTAGGCTGGGGGCAGCCTGACCGTTCTGTTTCCACCACAGTGGGTTATGTTTATATCTAGGCCGCTCCTCGCACCCCAAACCACAACCCCTAATCCTCACTACCCCGAGACCAGACATTATCCCACCCACACGCAGACACAGAGGGCCATGTCTGTTTGCTGGAGAGATGGGGGGCAGAGGGGCCTTGAGGCCTTGCTGGGTTAGCATTCGGGGTGTCCCTGACCGTGGTCACCTGGGGTCAGCCCCCACCAGGTGGGGCTGAAATCTGAGCTCTAGGCACCCCCATTCCTGCTGGAGTCACTGGGGGGGGGGGTGCAGCTTGAAGCTAAGACTCTGAGGTGCCCGGTGACCCAAGGTGGCAGCACAACCAGTGGCACAGCATTGGTCCCCCCTGGAATGGCGACCACAGCACCCCCACCACCCCCGAAGGCGAGAACGACGGTGGGGGTCAACTGCCCTTTCCTCCTGGGGTTGGGGGGGATGTCGGGGACACTGAGCCACCAGGGAAGAGCCCCCCACCCCCCAGCGGGGCCAGGCCCGCGGCCGGCAGGGGCGCCCCTCTGGTCACGGCGCTCTCCCCGCAGGTGCCCCAACCTGGTGTCTCTCACCCTATCGGGCTGCGGCCACGTCACCGATGACTGCCTGGCGCGCCTGCTGCGCTGCTGCCCGCGCCTGCGCACGCTGCGCTTAGAGAACTGCGCGCGCGTCACCAATCGCACGCTGCTGGCCGTGGCCGCGCACGGGCGCGCGCTGCAGACGCTGCACGTGGACTTCTGCCGCAACGTGAGCGCCGCCGGCCTGGGGCGCCTGCGCGCCGCCCGCCCGCGCCTGGCCCTGCGCGCCGAGCACAGCGCGGCCATGATCCCGGACCAGGTCCCGCGCGCGCCCGCGCCCGCCGCCCTCCGCAAGCCGCGGCTGCGTTAACGCGCCGGAGCCGGCCGCGAGCCCGACGTCTCCGGGGTGGGTCCCGGCCTGCGCCCCGCCGGCTCCGCCTTCCCCGGGGCGGCGCGGGCCGCGCCAGCCACGCCACCAGATCCGGCCCGCGTGGACCAAAGCTGCGTGGAGCTGGACAGTCTCCACCCATCGCACGATCACCCATCGAGGCCGGGCCTCGCCCCGGCCCGCGCGGGGTGCCAAGGTCCGGGCGGAGGGGTGGCGAGCCCCCCACGTGAGGCCCGGCGTATACAAAGGAAGTGTCACCGTCGCCGGAGGCCGGAGCGGGAGCGGGAGCCCGGGCCTGGCAGGGGCAATCGCCGCACCCCGGCAAACCTGCTGCGCGCTGGGAGCCCGGGCCTGGCAGGGGCAATCGCCGCACCCCGGCAAACCTGCTGCGCGCTGGGAGCCCGGGCCTGGCAGGGGCAATCGCCGCACCCGGCAAACCTGCTGCGCGCTGGGAGCCCGGGCCTGGCAGGGGCAATCGCCGCACCCGGCAAACCTGCTGCGCGCTGGGAGCCGGGAGCGTCTCCCTTGTGGACAATGCAGGGGGAAAGCAACCCCCCGCCAGGTGCAGGCCGTCTCCAAGGACAAACTGGCCACAGATGTGAGTCTTACACGGGCGGGGCGGGGGGGGATCCTCTTAACCCCCAGGGCTAAGTATTATCAGGCTTCTCCAATAAAATACCTTGCGTCCCGTTCCCCCCCCCTCCCCCCCGCCCTCAGGCAGCCTCAATTTCCTGCAGTCACAGCTGCCTTTTCTTCCCAAGGACCATTCATTTCTGCCTTAAGCGTTCTTGTGGTGCACGCGTGGCCGGGTCCTGTCCCTGTAACTGGTGTCTTATCCAGACCACCTGCAGTGACTCTGCACCTGTATCTCCTCTGGCTTTTGCCCTTCATGATCCTCCACTCCCAAGGCCTGGGCCACATCAGCCTTTGGTTTTGGTTTTGGTCGGTGGTGGGGCCTGAACTCTGGGCCTGGCCGCTGTCCCTCAGCTCTTCAGCTCAAGGCTAGCACTCTACCACTTGAGCCACAGCGCCACTTCCCGCTTTTTCTGCTTATGTGGTGCTGAGGAATCAAACCCAGGGTGTCAGGCATGGAAGGCCAAGTACTCTACCACTGAGCCACCTTCCCAGCCCGAAATCAACCATTTATTTTTTTTTTTAAGGTTATTTTTTTTTTTTTGCCAGTTCTGGGGCTTGAACTCAGGGCCTGGGCACTGTCCCTGATCCTTTTGCTAAAGGCTAACACTCTACCACTTGAACCACAGTGCCACTTCTGGCTTTTTCTGTGTATATGGTACTGAGGAATCGACCCCAGGGCTTCATGCATGCTAGGCAAGAACTCTACCACTAAGCCACATTCCCAGCCTCAACCATTTATTTTTAACGCTTTCTTGTAACCTGCAGATACCATGTGTGATGTGTTATGGTCTGAGAATTGGTGTTAAGATCGGAATAAAAGGAACTGTAAGAACTAGTGGCTTTTTTCTTTTTTGTTAGTAACAGAGATTGAACCCAGGGTCTGGAGCATGCTAGGCAAATGCTCTACCATTTGAGCCATGCTCCAAGTCCTTGATTTTATTGGGACAGACTGTCTCACCGGCTGGACTGTTTTGAACTTTTGATCTTCCTGCCCCCACCTTCTGAGTAGCTGGGATTACAGGTGTGAGTCACCATGTTCAGCCACAAGTACTAAGTGAAGAGCCAACAAAATCTGGGCACCACATCTGTAATCCCAGCTACTTAGGAAGCTGAGATCTAAGGACTGAGGTTCAAAGCCAGCCTGAGGAGACAAATTTGAGAGACTCTTATCTCCAACTAACCAACAGAGAGTCCTCAGAACTAAGGGCTCATCTTTATCCAAACTCATTTGTTACCCAGAAGCTGTGGTTTCCATCTGTGACACAATTCTAGTTGAAACCATTTTTCAATAAAACAAAGATGTCACAGTTTTATGTACAGACACAGACACACAAACACACACAGACACACACACACACACTAACTACATGTTCTAAGATCCATTCGCCACATTCACTTGGCTGGCAAAACCATCTATTTCTTTTACTTAACTCTAAAAACTGACACCTACTTTTTTGTGGAAAGTGTCTGCCTGTAAGACACTCTGGCTAGCACCCAGGCAAGCACCCTGTCCGCCATGACTTTGTCCATGAGTCCACTAGAAGCAACTCAGATAAAATGAGGGTGAGGGAGAAAAACTGCCCCAGGCCTGGTTCTTCTTGTTTACCCACAACTACAGCCTCACAAATGCTCTCAAGATGGCCCTTCTCCCCAGAACACATGCCCCTGATGGACAAGCTCACCACTAAGGGCCTCTGGGGCTGGGTTCAAGCACCAAGTGTGACCCCTTCTTCCCAGATACTGCTCAGATCCCCACCACCTGTCATGCAAAGGTATAAAAGCCCACGCTGGTCTCAGCAGTTCACCTCTTTGTGAACTCGTCAACAGTGTATACCGAGTGCCTACAGGTGGCCAACTATCTTTCCTGTACCCTCCCACTCGGCTGCTTCCTGGCAGAGGGGATGTGTTGTAAGTTGCCTTGTTCTTCAGAGCCCTGGCTTGCTACTGCCCCCTGGCAGGGTCAGCACGACACCCCTGGGCTCGTGGAGTTGTTCTGTTCCTTACCAGTGTGCTAGATCAGGGGTTCAGACCCAGGCCTAGGAGTGAGGGGAGAAAGCCAGGATGATGGCCGTGAAAAGAGGGCTCCTCTCACCACACAGTCCTGGAGCAGTGTCATTTCCAGGCAAAACCCACCGTCAGCGTGAAGGAGGGTTTCCGAATGGGTAGAGGAGCCATCAAACTGAGAAAGTGAGGCTGGCCTGCTAGCGAGGCTTACTCCTCCTGCTCCCCTCCTTGTGGCCAAGTCCTCCAGACCAAAGCTCCCCTGGAAGCAACAAGAGCAGCCCCCAGTCTGATTCCTGAATCTGCTTTATTTCTCTGCATAAGGAACCCTGCACAGGCAACTCAAATTAAAACAAAATAAATATATGAATATTCATGTAAAACTGTCCTTTCTAATGAACAATTATACACAATGTACAATTTCATGTTCACTGGGTGAGTTTACAAAAATGTATCATTCCCAACTAAAAATGCACCAAAATGGTTCCATGCAAACTTATCAAAAGTGACCAAAAATATGGGGGGGGGGGGAACCTGACTGAGAGCACTTGGTTTCAGTGTTTTGTTTTTGTACAATCACAGAAAAATAAAAACATCTAATTCCTTTGTTACATTTAGAGTAACTAAATGTGGCCACTGTTTATAATGTGGGTTTTAAGGTCTTAAAACATCTATGTAGTTACCGTAAAGTCTTATCACGTCACATTGGAAGTGAGCATTATTGAGAAGGGAGGGCGCAGCGCCGCGGGGGTCAGTAGTCAGTGTCGGAGCCCTCGGCGTTGTCCACATTTCTCAGGAGCATGTAGTTGTCCATGTCAATCGAGCGGCAGTTGTTGATGGCGTAGCGCAGGCGCTCGGCCATGACCAGCTGGCTGGAGTACGGGGGCAGCCGCAGCTGGAAGAAGCAGGTCTGTGAGGTAGGCAGGCTGTCATAAGGCTGTGGAGACAGAGACCCAGACTGGTGACTGTGGCATCTACCCAATGGCAGAAAGCACCTCCTCCTGACTTCCGGACGGAATCCGTGCAGCTAAGAGAACAGTGAGTTTGTTGCAGCCTACCAAGAGGGCACAGACTGGAAGCCAGATGCAGGGGTTCCCTTACGGGCAGAGAACAAGCAGATGTGCTGCGGGGAACTCCCTCCCCTTTCCCTGCTGCAGTCTGCACCCTTCACCTGCCACGGCTGCCAGTCACAGCCCAGGTGAGGAAGCAGCAGCTAATCACATCCCAGCACATGAATTGAACTACCAGAAGCTCTGAATTCAAGCATCACTAAGAACAGAAAGAAAAAAAAAAGCGCCCTCCCCCTCCCCCTCTCCGCCCGTCCCCAGTTGTGTGTCAAAGCCAGGGTGCTGTGCGCGCTCAGCGAGCACTCTCCCACTGCCTGCAAAGCCAGGGTGCTGTGCGCTCAGCGAGCACTCTCCCACTGCCTGCAAAGCCAGGGTGCTGTGCGCTCAGCGAGCACTCTACCACTGCCGGCAAAGCCAGGGTACTGTGCGCGCTCAGCGAGCACTCTCCCACTGCCTGCAAAGCCAGGGTGCTGTGCGCGCTAGGCGAGCACTCTCCCACTGACTGCAAAGCCACTCTCCCACTGCCTGCAAAGCCAGGGTGCTGTGCGCACTCAGCGAGCACTCTCCCACTGACTGCAAAACCAGGGTACTGTGCGCGCTCGGCGAGCACTCTACCACTGCCTGCAGCTCCAGCCCTTGTCCTCTCTTACTCAGTTTCCTCTTGGAACCAGCTCTCCTCAGCACCCTACGCTCAGGGGAGACTGCACTTCACAATGGTAGCAGTGGGGGCCTAGTAGCCTAGCCATATCAGAGTCAGTTAGGTGCTCCGGCTCAGCAAACAGCAAGGAAGGCCAGCCACCAGATGGCTCTGATTACTGAGATGTAGACACTGGAGAAATGACCCAACAGCCACAAAGGAAACAGCTCAGTGGCCGTTCTACTGTGACTGACAACTCAAGGAGGCCGAGGTTAGTGGTGGATCAGCTGAGGCAGCAGGGGCATTGGCAGCCAGATTGAAGGCAAAGAGTATTTCAAAAGCTGAACAGAAGGGAGCCGCTTCCTCCTCCACACTCCGCTCTGAAGTAACAAAACATTCACGCTCCATAGTTTGGAGCGAGTCATGCAGAACATTTATGCAAAGGCGCTGTCTCCGTGGCCCAGGGGAGGGAGGAGGCCCTGTTCACACAGCAGAAGTGCCAAGGCTCAAACTGGAAGAAGAGATCTTGAAATCCTTACCAAATTCTAGCCAAACACCATGGGCCCACTGAGGGCACAGGGGGTTTGGAAAGCGTGCTGTGGAGATGGGCCACAGTGCTGGGCTCCGTGGCACTCTATGTGTTCAGGAGGCTA